TCATTTCCCGATAGATGAAGCCATAGCCCCGCCTCTCCCCACCTCTGCTGCTCACTGCTGTAGCACGGTCAGTAGCTACTGTCAGTAGCTACTGCTAGTGCTTCTGCTACTGACCATGCTACAGATGTTAGTACAACATCTACAGCTCCTCTACTACAACCATCAGCAACAAGTGGACATGGAGAATTACACAAACTACTACATGTTGCTAAATCCACCGCGGGGCATAAACAGAAGGGCAACCATGGCAACCATGCTCCGGGGTCTTCTTCGCTGCTTTTTGTGTATTTTGTGCCGGCAGCAGCGCCACTTACAGGCCTGGCATATGTACTACAGCGTTTCCAGCGGGTCGAGCGGTCTCGTGTGAACGGAAGACTTTTTTGAAAACGCATACGGTGCGTAAACGCAAACGTTCCCGTGCAAAGGCAGCCTTAGGGTGGTTAGAAAGGAACGTTTAAAAAATGAATACACTGCTTCAAAATGTTGTAGGGCTGAAATTCACGCATTCGGGGATGGTCGAATTGAGTTACAGGTATGTGCCATCTCAGGTCGCTAACCACTATCTGCTCTGATCCAAATATCCACAAACAAACAGATATTTAGATCAGCCGGGAGTTTTACGGTGGCGTTTCTGACAAGATGGAAAAAATGGAGGTGCCCCCTTTAAGCTTTACAGCTCTTCAGAAATCCATAGGTGACGTCATAGAGACTGCGTCATTTTTTTATACAGTCTATGGTTTGAACTTGAGATTTATGTTTTTGACTGAAAAAAAAGGCATAGTTCCCTGAGAAATTAATTTTGAAAACCACAGCCATGTGTCCAGTCATGTGCTGCATCATGTGGTTTAGGGCAGGTCGATGTTTCAATAGAAACATTATAAAGGTGAACCCACTCGACTCCAAAGGCGAGAGCAGAATCAACACTCTGACGAGAAGACAGGAGGCGTGACAACACACTTTAGGCTTTAGGCAAGAAACTTCAAAGTGCTGAGCCCATTATATTTTACCTTAAGTTTCATTCTCATGTGCTTGATGAATTGCCCTTATACGTCTGTTCATTAAGTATCAGTTGTCTGTTTTGCTGCAGGTAATACTGTGTAATCTTTTTAATTATGTTAAGAATGACAAAGAATGATAGATGTCAGAGGCAGAGGTCTCTTTATATTTCTGTGTTTTCACCTTTTACTAAGGTGAACTGCAACATGTGAACATACATTTAAAGTTAAGATCATTATTATCAACTTTTGGAAAGATTTTCATGAACTTGTCTTTCCCAGATCTGCACTGTTTTGGATGGAGAACGTAACTTTGGTAACTCCTCTCAAACAGCCTATTGTGTTCGAGCTGGAGGGCTTCTATGTTCCACCAGGCTACGGTGCCTTCTTGTTCTTCCTGGCTCTGTGTAACTACATGGTAATGCTGTTTGCAAATGGTGTGGTGCTGTCTATCATTGTCATCGACAAGAACCTGCACAGACCCATGTTTGTAATGGTTTGTAACCTGGTAGTCTGTGATCTGCTGGGGGGCACGACGGTGCTGCCTCGCTTCATGGTGCACTTCTTGACGGGCCAGAAGAAATAGCCTACATCTCAGCCATCGCCCAGGCCTTTTGTGTGCACACCTACGGCTTTGCAATGCAGACTATTCTGGGTGTGATGGCCTATGACAGGTATTCAAATGCATGAGCACATGAAGAAAACAAATCACATATTCTCATCCTTTAAACTGTTATTTTACTGTCATGAAAAACGTGGACAGACTGACTCAAAGGATAAAGTGTTTGAGAAATCTCAGTTGACATATTTCAGTGATGTCAGGGCACATGGATTTTGGTGATGTTCTGTTTACTGAGGTTATTAGGTCAAGTGCTCTACATTACTTTAGTCTTTAGTCCTAAATTATGGCTCACTGTTTATTATCTTTCCAACAACATTTTATTTTGTTTAAAAAGTCCTGAATGTAGACATCTGATCTGACAAAAAAATGTGCAATAAGACGCTGCATAAATTGTTCTGCTGAAATGAGTCATTTGTCTTTCGGTCAAGGGACTTTGTTTAGCTCATTGCAACCTGGAAACTGCTCACTTTTGCACGTGGGTTTTTATATTATGCTGCTTGATTATGTTGGTTGCTAACGGGCTTGAATCTGGAATTAGTGCTTACAGCTATGTTTCTGTTTATGTGTTGGTACGAGAGCCAAGACTAAATAGGATAAAGCTGAGGGGGGTTTTTGGGCAGAAAAACAGGCAAAACGTTGAAAAGATAATGTAAAACATATCTTTAAGTAGATAAAAAAGCACGGTGGTTTGTATGTAATGAACAGTGCTCTCCCTCTGCAGGTACATTGCTGTGTGTGAACCACTCAGGTATCACGCCATCATGACATCGGCCCGGATGCACTCCTGCTGCGCCCTGGCCTGGGCTACAGCTGTGATATGTATTGTTGTGCTTTTTGCCTTTCATGTGAATGCCCCGCTGTGTGGCAATACCATCAAACACGTCTACTGTAGCAACCGTGCTATCCTTAACCTGGCCTGCGGTCCCACCCCATTAAACAACATCTACGGTCAGTCCATTTGTTTATTACAAAGCAACAACCATGCAGTGTGTTGTTGAACATTGTCCCTTTTCAACATCCCTTTTTCAGCAGGTATTCAGCATGTTGCATGACAACTCACTGACAAATTATTTGTCATTTTCGTTGTTTCTCTAGGTCTGTCCCTGGCCTGGTGCGTGAACACAAGCATCTTCCTCGTCATTGCTTTGTCCTACTTAAGAATCCTGCATGCTACTGTAAAACAAGGCAGAGATGCCCGCAGTAAGGCCTTTCAGACATGTGCACCCCACCTTGTTGTGTACGTGCTCTACCAAATAGGTACAGTGGTCCTAATTGTAATTCAAAGGTTCCCCTCACTCTCGCAAAACATCAAGAGGTTTTTCAGCATCCTGTTTATCGTCATACCACCAGTTATCAACCCCATTATCTACGGACTGGTCAGTAAAGAGCTACGTGCTAGCATCATCAAGCATTTTTACAAATGTACAAGACCATCACAACAAATTGGAGGAGCCTAACTTCTCAAGGCCATTGCGTTCCCGATCATTTCCTTAGCTACAGAGTCATTGTACCTGCTTGCATAGTTTTCAATAACCTAGCAGATCTATACATGAAATATGTTTCAGGTTTTAGGAATAGAGCTGGCCTAGCGACTGTGTTTCTTCTCAATGTCTCCTTTTTGAATCTATCTTTAAATGTAAACAAATTAAATATATATACACTATCTTATTGTCATTTTTTTTGGCCCTCAACAACGTATGAGATGGTGTCAATGTTGTCAGGAACATATGGGTGACATCACAGAGACTATGTCCATATTCTAAACAGGCTACAGTTTGAACTCAAGCCGTATGTCTTTGACTGAAAACATGTCAAACTGCACTGAAGTAATACTTTCAAAATCACAGCAAAGTGAAGTCAAGAGCCGAACTGGGGGATTTAGACCCCATTTACACGGGAACGAAACGGGTTGTATCCGCATAGTTTCTCTTGCATATAGCCCTTTCATTTACACAAGGCCGTAACAAAACGATAGAAACGGACCCCACAAACGATAACGGGTCCCAAGGTGGATAGATCTGCAACCGGAACGCTCTGGGGGGTCAAACGGCTCCGTGTGATCACCTCTATACGATCATTTCCCGATAGATGAAGCCATAGCCCCGCCTCTCCCCACCTCTGCTGCTCACTGCTGTAGCACGGTCAGTAGCTACTGTCAGTAGCTACTGCTAGTGCTTCTGCTACTGACCATGCTACAGATGTTAGTACAACATCTACAGCTCCTCTACTACAACCATCAGCAACAAGTGGACATGGAGAATTACACAAACTACTACATGTTGCTAAATCCACCGCGGGGGCATAAACAGAAGGGCAACCATGGCAACCATGCTCCGGGGTCTTCTTCGCTGCTTTTTGTGTATTTTGTGCCGGCAGCAGCGCCACTTACAGGCCTGGCATATGTACTACAGCGTTTCCAGCGGGTCGAGCGGTCTCGTGTGAACGGAAGACTTTTTTGAAAACGCATACGGTGCGTAAACGCAAACGTTCCCGTGCAAAGGCAGCCTTAGGGTGGTTAGAAAGGAACGTTTAAAAAATGAATACACTGCTTCAAAATGTTGTAGGGCTGAAATTCACGCATTCGGGGATGGTCGAATTGAGTTACAGGTATGTGCCATCTCAGGTCGCTAACCACTATCTGCTCTGATCCAAATATCCACAAACAAACAGATATTTAGATCAGCCGGGAGTTTTACGGTGGCGTTTCTGACAAGATGGAAAAAATGGAGGTGCCCCCTTTAAGCTTTACAGCTGTTCAGAAATCCATAGGTGACGTCATAGAGACTGCGTCATTTTTTTATACAGTCTATGGTTTGAACTTGAGATTTATGTTTTTGACTGAAAAAAAAGGCATAGTTCCCTGAGAAATTAATTTTGAAAACCACAGCCATGTGTCCAGTCATGTGCTGCATCATGTGGTTTAGGGCAGGTCGATGTTTCAATAGAAACATTATAAAGGTGAACCCACTCGACTCCAAAGGCGAGAGCAGAATCAACACTCTGACGAGAAGACAGGAGGCGTGACAACACACTTTAGGCTTTAGGCAAGAAACTTCAAAGTGCTGAGCCCATTATATTTTACCTTAAGTTTCATTCTCATGTGCTTGATGAATTGCCCTTATACGTCTGTTCATTAAGTATCAGTTGTCTGTTTTGCTGCAGGTAATACTGTGTAATCTTTTTAATTGAGTTAAGAATTACAAAGAATGATAGATGTCAGAGGCAGAGGTCTCTTTATATTTCTGTGTTTTCACCTTTTACTAAGGTGTACTCTAATATCTGAACATACATTTAAAGTTAAGATCATTATTATAAACTTTTGGTAAGGTTTTCATAAACTTGTCTTTCCCAGATCTGCACTGTTTTGGATGGAGAACGTATCTATGGTAACTCCTCTCAAACAGCCTATTGTGTTCGAGCTGGAGGGCTTCTATGTTCCACCAGGCTACGGTGCCTTCTTGTTCTTCCTGGCTCTGTGTAACTACATGGTAATGCTGTTTGCAAATGGTGTGGTGCTGTCTATCATTGTCATCGACAAGAACCTGCACAGACCCATGTTTGTAATGGTTTGTAACCTGGTAGTCTGTGATCTGCTGGGGGGCACGACGGTGCTGCCTCGCTTCATGGTGCACTTCTTGACGGGCCAGAAGAAAATAGCCTACATCTCAGCCATCGCCCAGGCCTTTTGTGTGCACACCTACGGCTTTGCAATGCAGACTATTCTGGGTGTGATGGCCTATGACAGGTATTCAAATGCATCAGCACATGAAGAGAACTACTCACAATTTGAAGTTTTTTTAAAAGACATTGAATGTACAGTCAAGCATTATTGTACAGAGTGACTCTGATGATTTAGTGCTTCAGAATTCTCGTTTTATAGATTGCATTCATGCCAGGCAAATGTGTTTTGGTTCTGTTCTTTTTGCGAATGTGGCTTTGAAGGAGTGTGCTCGTCTTTCAATCTGAAGAATGTGGGTTCATTCCCAGCCCATGCAGTCTAAATGTTGATGTATCCTTGGGCAAGATACTTTACCCAGAGTTGCTCCCGATAGCAAATTGTGTGTGAATGTGTGTGTATGTACTTAGAGCAAGTGACACATTGCTCCATATGAAATGGATGAATGATGATTTGTAAATGTTAAGCGCTTTGAGATGTCGCAAAGACGGGTTAAAGCGCTATATAAGAACAGTCCACTTACCATTTGCACTAAGTTATTAAAATGTTATGTTTTATGAAGTAGGAAAGCACCTTTGTTGCATGTCACTTTGTTCTTTAGTATTTTTAAAGTGCTGAGGTAAGGACTACATTAGATTTGTAATTTATCCTAAGTAACGCCTTAATGTTTATGAACCGTCATACAACACCAAGTTTGTTTAACATCCAATAAAGGGAAGAATACAACACCACAGAAGGTTAAATAATATTCCGCATCAATTGTTATGATGAAGTGTGTAATTGGTCTAACTCCTTCAGACAGAAAGGACCAGCTGAAGGACTTTTAATGTTTGCCGAAATGGGTTTAAACCTGGAATTGGAGCTTACAGCTATATTTGTATTAATTTGTTAGTATTAGAGCCAACAAGATCAAGTTGAGGGTATTTTTGAGCATACAGAAAGAGGCCACAAGATGCTAAGACAGTTGAAAAGTAGCAAAAGTGTTATATGTAATGAACAGTGCTCTCCCTCTGCAGGTACATTGCTGTGTGTGAACCACTCAGGTATCACGCCATCATGACATCGGCACGGCTGCACTCCTGCTGCGCCCTGGCCTGGGCTACAGCTGTGATATGTATTGTTGTGCTTTTTGCCTTTCATGTGAATGCCCCGCTGTGTGGCAATACCATCAAACACGTCTACTGTAGCAACCGTGCTATCCTTAACCTGGCCTGCGGTCCCACCCCATTAAACAACATCTACGGTCAGTCCATTTGTTTATTACAAAGCAACAACCATGCAGTGTGTTGTTGTATTGCCCCTTTTCTTAGTTAACATTAAGCTGTCTTTGGCTCTTTTCTGCTCTAACAAATGTACATTTCCCCTCTGTGGGACGAATAAAGGTATTCTGATTCTGATTTCAACATCCCTTTTTCAGCAGGTATTCAGCATTTTGCATGATAACTCACTGACAGATTATTTGTCATTTCCTTTGTTTCTCTAGGTCTGTCCATGACCTGGTGCGTGAACACAAGCGTCTTCCTCATCATAGCTTTTTCCTATTTCAGAATCCTGCATGCTACTGTAAAACAAGGCAGAGATGCCCGCAGTAAGGCCTTTCAGACATGTGCACCCCACCTTGTTGTGTACGTGCTCTACCAAATAGCCTCAGTGGTCCTAATTATAATTCAAAGGTTCCCCTCACTCTCGCAAAACATCAAGAGGTTTTTCAGCATCCTGTTTATCGTCATACCACCAGTTATCAACCCCATTATCTACGGACTGGTCAGTAAAGAGCTACGTGCTAGCATCCTCAAGCATTTTTACAAATGTACAAGACCATCACAACAAATTGGAGGAGCCTAACTTCTCAAGGCCATTGCGTTCCCGATCATTTCCTTAGCTACAGAGTCATTGTACCTGCTTGTATAGTTTTCAATAACCTAGCACATCTCTATATCAAATATGTCTTAGGAATAGAGCTGGCCTAGCGACTGTGTTTCTTCTCAATGTCTCCTTTTTGAATCCATCTTTAAATGTCAAAAAATAAAATATATATGCACTATCTTATTGTCGTCTTTATTTCAACCCGGTATCACGGCAAGACGTGAACATGTGACGATCTACCATGCTGGGAGACGTGAATATGTCACGGTTTCGTCCCTTCAAACGTGACAGTTACACGGTATTGTTAACATGGCCCAACCAGTGGAGAAATACCCGGAAGTACCAAGCAAATGGTCTACCGCGCCTATTGGTCGGTTTTTATTGTCAAAATGAGATGTTTTTAATTTATTTTTTAATCGTCACACTCGATTTCGCCGATTTTCTTGTGGCCCTAGCTGGTCGACACCTCTTTTAGCAGAAACAAAGGCTACATTAATGTATTAAATCGATGTTAATCCATGTGTGTGGATCATAGACTGGTGTGGATGTGGAATTAACGGACGTGACGTTGTGCGATTGCGTTGACAGGCAACGCAATTTACAAACTCTTCAACTACAACCCTAATTATATTTAAAAACATTTTAGAAGGCCCCACGAAATACTTTCATGTAAATTAAAATGTAAATGTGAAGGGATGTGTGTAATGTATGTGGTGATTGACATTATTCACCCACGGATCTATGGGTTGGGGGTATTGTTCCGCACGGACATTTTAGTTAACCGGACTTACTGTTGATGTGAAATCCGAAAGAAAATTAAAAAATAAAATAATACTTTATTCCGAGTTTGCTTGCTTTTCTCTTTGGAGGTCATCACATAACGGCATTGTAATACACGGTTCGGCTGCATTAAATATTACATATCTGCCGTAGTTCTGTATTTATAGAGCCCTGATGAGAAGACTTCTGGACAAACAGGAAGCACTGCCGCCAAAACTGAAAACGTGACGTGGATCATAAATATATCAGCAATTAAATAACATCTTACATTTCTTTTCACACAATACGTCTCCTTGCAGTATCAATACTAATTCGGCTGACTTTTATATTTGATCCAATTGGTAGATAGGTTATATTTACACCATAACGGTGCACAGCTGATATAAAAGGACTTGTCGTTTTTAAAGATATTACTGATTTTCTTTGAATATAAGAATGTAAATACTGAGTTGAGAGAATAGTCAGGGGATTTGGGTGATGGGAGACACATCTATGGATTCACAATTTCAATAGCTTACTGTTAAATGACGGATATACCTTTCTGTCTGTGATGTTTTACAAATCAGATATTAGAAGTAAAACATGTGAAATAATATAGCAATATCCTGTATAATTATGTGAAAACATGAATAAAACTACACATCTTCAGATGTTATACATACACAAGTGTCCTACACTAATAATACAAAGTTATTATGGCTGTGTGTACCTTGTGTGCACCGCCTAGTGGTTAAAGCACGTTATTGAATTAGTTGTGTATGATATGTCAATGAACCTTAGAAAATCTTGAAATCTTGAAAGGGATATGCAAAATAGCCATTATATACAGTCTTTAATTAACTATTAGTAGAGAATAACGAGTAATGAATATACTTTATAGGGATCTGCAGATAAATGTTTAGTCTTCTCAAGCAGCAACTATCAAATATCTCTTCTGATTGTTGGCACTTGACAATCACCTTTCCCTGAATTTTACTCAGGTGTAACTAAAGCCTGATTTAAGGGTTGTTTATATTTCACATCATTAATCAGAATCTGCAAAGTAACTAAAATAAATGTAGTGGAGTAAAAATACCAGGTTAACCTCTGAATTGTAGTGGAGTAGAATTGCTGTTTTGTTTAGTAATGGCTATTGAATATGGAATAAAGGTTTTGACAAGACCTGGTGTAACAATAATCAAAAAGGACATTAAAAGAGCTCCAGTTGTCAATGTTCTAAACAAAACAGCACACCTGAAATGTATATTTAAATACTTTATTAAGGGCAGTGAATTAGTTTTTTCTGTATGTTTTACAAATCAGTGTTATACAGTAAGTGTCATAGACAGTGTTACATTGCTATTATTATCCTTAAAATATATGTAAAACAAAACCACTTATGATCTTTTTATTTGAGTGGTTTACTAATGACAGTTAATTCTGTTTCTGCTATTGATGGTTTTATTTTTGTGAAAAATAATAAAATAATAAAATTCAATAACGTGCTTTAACCACTAGATGTGCCTTTCTATCAGCTGTGCACCGTTATGGTGTAAATACAGCCTATCTACCAATTGGATCAAATATAAAAGTCAGCCGAATTAGTTTTGATACTGCAAGGAGACGTATTGTGTGAAAAGAAATGTAAGAGGTTGTTTAATTGCTGATATATTTATGATCCACGTCACGTTTTCAGTTTTGGCGGCAGTGCTTCCTGTTTGTCCAGAAGTCTTCTCATCAGGGCTCTATACATACAGAACTACGGCAGATATGTAATATTTAATGCAGCCGAACCGTGTATTACAATGCCGTTATGTGATGACCTCCAAAGAGAAAAGCAAGCAAACTCGGAATAAAGTATTATTTTATTTTTAAATTTTCTTTCGGATTTCACATCAACAGTAAGTCCGTTTAACTAAAATAAATTAAAAACATCTCATTTTGACAATAAAAACCGACCAATAGGCGCGGTAGACCATTTGCTTGGCACTTCCGGGTATTTCTCCACTGGTTGGGCCATGTTAACAATACCGTGTAACTGTCACGTTTGAAGGGACGAAACCGTGACATATTCACGTCTCCCAGCATGGTAGATCGTCACATGTTCACGTCTTGCCGTGATACCGGGTTGCTTTATTTCTGCCTCAACACTGGCCCCCAACAACGTATGAGATGTTGTCAGGAACGTATGGGTGACATCACAGAGACTATGTCCATATTCTAAACAGGCTACAGTTTGAACTCAAGCCGTATGTCTTTGACTGAAAACATGTCAAACTGCACTGAAGTAATACTTTCAAAATCACAGCAAAGTGAAGTCAAGAGCCGAACTGGGGGATTTAGGGCGGTTGAAAGGGAAGTTCATAAAAATACACACACTGCTCCACAAGTCAACACTCTGACGGGAAGACAGGAGGCGTGACAAGAAACTTTAGGCTTTGCACAAGAAACTTCAAAGTGCTGAGCCCATTGGACATTACCTTTAGTTATTGTATTGCCAGGTGCTTGATGAATTGCTGTGAGACGTCTGTACATTAAATATCAGTTGTCTGTTTTATACAGGTAATACTGAGATCAATTTAATGTAATTCAACATTTTACAATGAGAGACTCATGACAGAGGCCAATCACTTTTTTTCACATTACTGTGTTTAACAATCTTCTACTAGTCTCTTTTATAAAGTGCTGTGTCTGTAATTCTTATCACTATTATTACCTGTTTTAAGGGTTTTCATGAACTTGTCTTTTTCAGATTTCTACTGTTTTGGATGGAGAACGTAACTATGGTAACTCCTCTCAAACAGCCTATTGTGTTCGAGCTGGAGGGCTTCTATGTTCCACCAGGCTACGGCGCCTTCTTGTTCTTCCTGGCTCTGTGTAACTACATGGTAATGCTGTTTGCAAATGGTGTGGTGCTGTCTATCATTGTCATCGACAAGAACCTGCACCGACCCATGTTTGTAATGGTTTGTAACCTGGTAGTCTGTGATCTGCTGGGGGGCATGACGGTGCTGCCTCGCTTCATGGTGCACTTCTTGACGGGCCAGAAGAAAATAGCCTACATCTCAGCCATCGCCCAGGCCTTTTGTGTGCACACCTACGGCTTTGCAATGCAGACTATTCTGGGTGTGATGGCCTATGACAGGTATTCAAATGCATCAGCACATGAAGAGAACTACTCACAATTTGAAGTTTTTTTAAAAGACATTGAATGTACAGTCAAGCATTATTGTACAGAGTGACTCTGATGATTTAGTGCTTCAGAATTCTCGTTTTATAGATTGCATTCATGCCAGGCAAATGTGTTTTGGTTCTGTTCTTTTTGCGAATGTGGCTTTGAAGGAGTGTGCTCGTCTTTCAATCTGAAGAATGTGGGTTCATTCCCAGCCCATGCAGTCTAAATGTTGATGTATCCTTGGGCAAGATACATTACCCAGAGTTGCTCCCGATAGCAAATGGTGTGTGAATGTGTGTGTATGTACTTAGAGCAAGTGACACATTGCTCCATATGAAATGGGTGAATGATGATTTGTAAATGTTAAGCGCTTTGAGATGTCGCAAAGACGGGTTAAAGCGCTATATAAGAACAGTCCACTTACCATTTGCACTAAGTTATTAAAATGTTATGTTTTATGAAGTAGGAAAGCACCTTTGTTGCATGTCACTTTGTTCTTTAGTATTTTTAAAGTGCTGAGGTAAGGACTACATTAGATTTGTAATTTATCCTAAGTAACGCCTTAATGTTTATGAACCGTCATACAACACCAAGTTTGTTTAACATCCAATAAAGGGAAGAATACAACACCACAGAAGGTTAAATAATATTCCGCATCAATTGTTATGATGAAGTGTGTAATTGGTCTAACTCCTTCAGACAGAAAGGACCAGCTGAAGGACTTTTAATGTTTGCCGAAACGGGTTTAAACCTGGAATTGGAGCTTACAGCTATATTTGTATTCATCTGTTAGTATTAGAGCCAACAAGATCAAGTTGAGGGTATTTTTGAGCATACAGAAAGAGGCCAAAAGATGCTAAGATAGTTGAGAAGTAGCAAAAGTGTTATATGTAATGAACAGTGCTCTCCCTCTGCAGGTACATTGCTGTGTGTGAACCACTCAGGTATCACGCCATCATGACATCGGCCCGGATGCACTCCTGCTGCGCCCTGGCCTGGGCTACAGCTGTGATATGTATTGTTGTGCTTTTTGCCTTTCATGTGA